AGGGTGCCGGGCGGTCTCATATTCTGTAAGGTCAGAGCGTATACGAATTTCACTCCAAACCCAAGCAAAAAGACACAGTCCACGTTGAAGTTTGGATGTCGCTGGTTACATGGAAAGGCGCTGCGGGAGGCTTTGACAGGACATAAGATACATGAGATAGAGAATTAGGCGTGTACCTCCCCGTGCAGCAGTCGATCACACTGTTTCATGTATCCACTCAGGACCCCAGCCACAGTCGAAAAGTCGTCATCCATAGCCCCTCACCACCTTTCCCCCATGGCACCCATCGCCCTGGCCTAGGGTAACGGCCAATATACCGGAAGCAAGTAGTATAAATCTTTCAATTCGCGTCTTGCCATTGCTGCCATTGCTCCCATGTTTGCTGAATAATATCAACTTGCAGAAGGCCCAGTTTATCAATCAGCATCGAGCGGAATCTGTGCTTGCCAGCGACGATCCACCGCTGCACCCAAGCTCCAAGTTTTCGCGCATACTGTAGTGTCCGCGTGCGAGGCAACTCGAGAGAATGGCGTCATGGCTGCTCTTGGGCCCTGCAGATGAGGCACCTAAATGGCTGGCGGAGGATGCGCTGACGCCTTGGCAGGACAAACCTACTCGCGCCGTTGCAGCCGCGGAGGAGGGACATCTCCGTCGTCGTTTGGTGTACCCAGTATGCAAAACGATACACAGAGTGGGATCTCTTACAAGGAGGACAGGGGCTGTTCTCACCGCCATGCGCTGATTTGCCATCCACATCTTGGTGGACAAAATATTCATTTTGTTGCTACAGCGTGATCCGATGACTGGCGACAAGCAGAGACTAATCACTGTCGCTGGCGCAGACTGGGGAATGCAAGTGTCGCCCTTGTCATCTGATAGAGATGTTGAAACTGATGTGGTCATCATGCATCTGCGAGAGTTGGCCCTGGTCGAATTGCTCGATATTCTTTCGCTTGTGTCGGGATGATCGAACATCACAAATATATCGTCTTCTGCGCAAGTCACGCATCCCTTTTTTTTTTTTTTTTTTTTTTTTTTTTTTTTTTTTTTTTTAAAAAAAAAATCCACTTTCTTGGATAGCTTTCTCGAAAACTTTCTCCTGTTATCTTGATAAGGGATTCTTGGCTTTGATAGTGGACAATGTCAACTCCATAAGGCGAACGAAGACGGGCCTGGCCCACTATTATATACTTCAACTCCACCATGTTATGCTGCATACTGACATGATCTCTATGAATTAGCAGAATTCCTTAAATGTGTGTTTCCTGCCTGTTTCTTTGAAGTATTTGTTTTCCCTGACTTCTCGAAAGCCATGGTGCCCTGCGTCTTTCTTCGCAATACATTTCCTTTTCATTTCACCACCTGATAAGGATACCCAAGCCATATACGCCGACAATGCGGAAATCACGAGTGTGTTTGCTCCAGTGATATCCTAGATATGAGCCACAGGAGGGCTTAGCGATGCCTCTAAGAGATATATACTTCTTAAGTCTTGCTCGATGGGTCCAGTGTCCTCGCATCCCGGTCGGCCGCGAGTGACCTCGAGATCAACACCAACATGACTCTCTCAGGGGAAAATGACTATGGGCTCAGGATGCATGATTATTTCCTTGTTAGTCATGTACTGTTGTCTGATATTACTATACGTATATCATTTTACCTTAATCCTTCTGATTCTGCTGCTGACATTCCATATATGTCTATATAATACACCTCCGTTATATGTTCATGCTCGCTGTAACACAATACAAACTACAGCCATCTGTTCCTCAAGTGGGCCACCCAACTGGGACGAGGATTTACAGTCATTCACTGCACCTATATCCAGGCATATAGCTACTCAGGAAATTCAGTTCCCATTCCCGATCAATCTCCCTTGCGCATAACATACGTATACCACAGATTCCCTCCTCCAGAACACATACATCTACATATATATCACGCCATCAAACTTCCGGTTTCTCAATTTTATACAAAGTTGAATAATACACTATCGCGTATGCCTCTCGATGCAAGTGAAATGGCTGGCTTCTATCTTCCAAATATCCTTCAACGGAAAACGCCCCCACACGCAAATGGAAATTCTCCACCTCTGGCTGAAATGATAGAGAGGGACAGTCCGCAACATGGTAGCCAACAAACGGACTCGCAAAATTTCCCCAACCCAGATGGCCATAAGTCGTCATGGCCATCTAAATACTTTGCATCTGCATTCGCTACCCGTTATGGAGCAACCAAATCTGCAGCCACTTTACCATCCATCACTTCCGAGGCCACCGCCAGCCAAGCAGCCAATCTTCGCACCAGAATAAGCAGAAACAGCAACAATAACAACATATGCAAACTCCCAGCTTCAGTGAAACGAAAACCCTCCGATCCCCCCTGTAGAACCCCGACAAGAAACACAGACCTTCCAATCCCAACCATAATCCACCCCAGTACTCCCATATCCCCATCTCCCTCTCCTGTCCATTCCTCTTCAACCCGCGCAAAATACCACTCCATCCTCCGCCCGTCGCAAAAAAGGTCAATTCTTAAAGTAGCTGCAGACGACAGCGACCTGCGACAAGAGGAATTATACCGCCAGTATACCTCCCAATCAGACACCCGGGCCAACACATCGCGAAACGTAATCCTAACGCTCAGCGACTCCTCGGCCCGGAATGATACCAGCCCTCTTCTCCCGCGCTCCAAACAGATGTCGCCTTCCACATCACAATGCCGCAATTCTCTCCCACCGACGAAGTCGCCAACAAACCCACCGCTCATTGCGGGTGACATATATACTATGCATTCCGCGCTTGGTGATCGGGAAGCAGAACCTGAGCCTGAGAGATGGGATGGCTACGTGGAAGAGAGTGGCGGGCCGGGAAGTAAAGTTTCTAGCAAGTGTGGGAGGTCATCAAGCTCCCTACACTCCGAACGCGAGAATTCTCAGGAAAGGAATAAGAAGAGGATGAAGAAGGAGAAGAAGGCGAAGAAGAACAAGGCCGTGCGCTTTGACCATATTGATGTTCATATGTATGAGGTTGAGCGGGGTGAGGAGCCTCGCTTTCTTTTTTTTGGTCGTCGAGGCGGGGGAGGTGGCGCAGAGGGATTTGGGGATGGAATCGCGAATGCGAATGCGAATGCAGATGGGAATGGAAGCAAACGATGTCGAGGTGTGGCTTTCAGTGAGATTGATCTTGATATTGACCGTAGGGAGTATGTGATGGATATCCCAGATGCTATTCAAGGGTAAATCTGGAAGCAAATGGGCTGTGTTGGGGGTAGAGGAAACACCGCGCGGAAGCAGAGAGGTCTTTCATTTCTATTCTTTCTCTGATTTTTGAATTATATATTTTTTTTACTGTGATTTTGTGTATATATTCCTATATCTGCACTTTTTTAATACTTAGAAAGAGGGAATCTGTAACACATACATGTACTATTACATCTTACAATTTACAATGAACAATATCAAACAAAAGAACAAAGAAGAAATGAAATGAATGAACAAAACAACCTACATACACACATACATATACATGGAGACAGACACACATGCACACACATCATGCTTTCTTCACTGTAAAATACCCATCATCCCCTCGAGTAACCAGGCCCGCGGATGACCATGAAGTCGTAGCAGAGCTCGTGTAGCCAAAACTAGATCCGAAGTTAGAAGTCAATTCTCCACGCTCCAACACTCCTCCCTGGAAACTCCCAGATGGTGTACTAGCAGCGACAGGCGAAGTAGGAGACGTGGCCAGCATCATTGGCGTCACAGGAGGCCGGAAATCGATCACGATCCTAAGCTTTTCGAAGCAGAGCTCCTTGAGCTGATCCCAGGTCGCTCCATTCTCGACAGCCAAGCGGAAGTCTTCGACAGTCATGCCGGTGATCCAACTTCTTGGTTTGGTCTTAGCCCCGGACGAAGACCTGTTTTTTTGCCTGTTGCCTTTTAAAGGCAGCTTCTGAGAGATTTTCGCATTAGGGCTGCGAACAGCTACCTTAGTAGCATTCCCCTGTTCTTGGAATTCATAGTTTTCATGAATCGCATCGCTCATCAGCCCAGTCCCGAGCATTTTCGACATAAGCTTGGGGTTTCTCCCAAATTTCTCTTTCTACCAAACACGTGCAAAGTCTGTCGTGGGATACACGTCCGGGTACAGAGGAATAACACCCTCTGGCAAATACATATGCAAAACGCCTGCGCTGTGACTAGTGCA